GGGGTAGCTGTTACATTTGGATTTCCATGATTGTTGGAATATCTGGTAAAATAAACATGCAGTACCTTTTTTTAGCTAGCCTTTCTGAAATTTCTTTTTTAATTAAGAGGAATTTATTTGTGCATTGTTCTTTCTTAGAGAGAAATTGAGGTTTTTGTAAAATTGGAAGATGTTATGTGACAAGGGCTTCTTGAGTGTTGATGTTATGACACTCCAGTGAATGAATATGATTACCATGGTCAAATATTGTCTAGTCAACTACTTAGAGGTAATACACACTAAATGGAATTTTGTCCAGGTTTGGTACAATTTTCAATATGGCACGACTACTTATGGATGATTTCAGAGGTGGATTTGAAAATGGGCCCTGGTGGCAACGTATTTTCAATGGATACACTATCACTACTTGGTTGGTGGTATTGAATCTAGGATCTACTGGTCTTTTGGTTTCGTGGTTAATGAAACATGCTGATAATATTGTAAAGGTATATCCTTGGATCTTCCAGCTAGCATGCTTTTCTCGTGTTTGTTCACATACTTCATCTATTTTGATGAAGAACTCGATGTTGAGTTTACCTCCTAAGAATATTTTTCATACGAGGGAAATAATTATGAGTTTATGACACTGAAATTAGTAATGAAGTATCACATCACAATATATGGCATTATTTGTTTATTTATCTCCAGTTCTTTTTCTCTCCTAATTGTTAGTTGTTTCTACTTTCTTTAGGTCTATTCCACATCAATGGCAATGTTGCTGACAATGATAATTTCGCTATTTCTATTCAACTTCAAGCCTACATTACAGGTAAATTTCCGGCCTAAGCAATTCCTATATTTGTAGTCTTCTATTCCATGCCTTCTCCCAACAGAACTTTTTAGCCAAATCAATTTGTTGAACAGAATTTAGAATCTTAGATACCACAAGGGTACACTTTTTGATGTTATTTCACAGGATAGGCTTAGCTGTTTTGCTGTAGCTCTTGTTTAGGATCTGTTCTTAAATTTTGTAGAATGCTTGTTTTAGTCATTCGTATTTAAACAGATTAGTGATATGCAAATTTCTTTTTAACTACACCTATCGTAGATGATTTTTTATTCAAGATGGTGGTCACTCTTTGTATGTAAATATTCTTGTTTTACATTTTATCATTCAGGTTCTTGTCGAGGCTGAATTTTTTTTTTCTTGATTGGCAAATGTTTGTATTTATTTTGTAATTAGTTTGTTATATTAGTGTGGGGGGGGGGGGGGCAATCTTATGTTCCTCCTTCCAATGACCAGACCGCCTTATAACTTCCTTGTAACTCCCCCACTTTATACTCTCCACCAGAAAAATCTTGAGGCTGAATGTTGGCATGATTATTTTAAACCTTTCATGATGTTCTCACTGCATAACATGATGTTAATTTTTTATTTTATTTTTTCTCTTTGCAGCTTTTTTTGGGCATTATTATTTGTATGATGTCTCTACACATGTATTTTGCCCCACCAAATATGCTCTTGGATATGCCAGTAACAGTTAAATCAGATGAAGAGAAGCTTATTGAAGTTTCTGTTGATCGAAGACCACATTCATGATATTGTATTGACATCCGAGTACAATGCTTGGGTAAATGAACATTTACTTCAGTTGAGTTTTGGTTTATTTTCTGAATAGTTCAAACAAAATATTCTTATACAACATCTAACATTGCTACACAATGTGGGGCATTAAGATTAACTATATATAAAAATCATTTTATATAATTTAATTTTTTTTCCCAGGTATTTCCTTATAAGGCCTATTAAAGTCATTTCTTCTATAGCAGAAATGCCGAATATTATTCCGTGCTGCATTGGTTCAGTGACTTTGTAGAGCATAGGCATCTTGGATGGGTTGACGATAGCTCTATGTAGCTAATTCGGACATCCCATGTGTTGTCTGTGTTTAAATATATGAAAGGAGGATATTGAAGGAAAAGATTGTTGAATGAAAGTGAGCCGGAAATTAATTTTTGTCTTTGGCTTTTGGTGAGTCTTTTAACTTCTCTAGCTGGTAGTGATAGGGGTCATAACCTTTGACACGAGCACATGAAGTCAAGCCAGTCACCTATGTGGTCTATCTTTCTACCTAGTCAATGTACCAACTAAACAATTCTTAACCATTAATTAATTTAAGTAGAGTTTTTTACAGTTTGATGCTCATATCCAATGCACTTCGATTGATCGGGTCGTACGGAACTCTTGGGTCCATCTTTATATATGCAATTATTAGGTAAAAAATGTTGTGGAGTGGAATGTTATCATGTAATGAGTTTGACTTGGGAGTTGTCCAAAATGAGGTTTTACTGTTTTATTAACCAATAACAGGTCAATGAATAATCTTAATGAGACATTCCATTTTTGAGCATACACTAATTAGTGTATAGTTAAAGGAAAGTAAAAAATTACATGACATATATACCTCAAAGAATTTTGTTAAAACAATATTTTACTATTTTTATGCCTCCCTTGATTCATCTGTTAAATATAATACAACTCGTAACGATATAGTTGAAGTCTAAAATAAAAACACTTTTTAAAAACATTTTTAAATAAATAATAAATTTATGCATAAATGATTTTTATGTCTAAAAATGTGTAATTTTATAATAATAACAATGAAAATAATATAACAAATAATTTATCAAATCATACTAAAACTTATATCACTGATTATAATGAAAAAAATTAAGTTACTAAATAACTTTCAATTTCAAATTATGACGAGTAATGAATTTTGTTAATAAATAGCTAAAAGTCGTGTATATTAAAGAAGATATTATTTTTTTTTATAATTGTTTGATGTATAATTTTATCCAATCATTTTATACATGACATTATACATTATATTATTTGTATTTAATATTTACGATCTTTGACAGAGATTAATTATTATCTCTAATGATTAATACTTTATACAAATATTATGATTATAAAAAAAATACTGTCAATATTTAAACTTCATTAAAAAAAATATATAAATCATTTAATTAGAGACAAAAACAAACAATTTCTATTACTTTGTTGTTCCACGGTCATCCGGATAATTATGTTTATACAACACAATAAAGAGTAAATAAAAGAACTTAATTAAAATATATTGAAAGTAGGGGTGAGCATTAAACTGATACCCGAACCGAACCCGAAAAACCCGATAAAAAATATTGTTTTTGGGTGGGTTCGGGCGGGTCTTATGGGTAAATCAAAATTTTGATTTTATACGGGTTATATTGGGCGGGTTCGGTTTTGAATTTTTAAACCCGCCAAAAACCGAACCCAACCGAAAATGAGATAAGTTTAAATTTTTATTACTTTTGTATAACTAAACAACAATGGTCCAAACTTAAAAGTCTTTATTTCAAGTATAATATAGCCATCAATTTGTAACTTATTTTTTTCCTTTTTCTCATAACTTAGATATTTATTTTGTCTTCTCCTTCCTCATTCAACTTCTCAACACACTAGTCCATTTTTAGAGTTATCTTTTTGCTTCTTTCTTTGTCTTTCTTTTCCATCTTCTTATCTCCATTTTGAGTACATTTTGTGTGACTGTGATTTCTTATGATTTTGTAATCTAACTTTATATTTCTTTTCCATGTAACAACTATGAATTTTGTTATCTTTTATTTTTGCTTCTTTAGTTTGTAAATGTTTCAACTACGAATCTACTTACACCATCTATTGTCACCTTCATTCTATTTTTATACACTATTTAAAAAATAATTTTTTATCGTTTTAAGCTTCATCTTCCTTAAGGTAAATTGGTTTACAAAAAAATTCAAACCCGATTATACCCACCCGCTTAAATCCGAATCCGTTTCAACCCGAACCGCCTCAAATCGAAAGCTCAGTCGGTCGGATATGGGTCACAACTTTTCAAAGTCGGTTTACAATGGGTTGGACATTTTTCACCCGAACCCGACCAAACCCACCCGTTGCTCACCCCTAATTGAAAGTGTAAATTATTTATTTTACATCACTGTTGTATCACAAATTACTGTTAATTTTTTATAATAGTTATTTTAAAATAATATATAATTTATTGACAGCATATTTTATATATATATATAAAGGAGGGTTCAAATGACATCGGTGTAACTTTTACTAAGTGTTACACCGCTCAATAACTTTATATTAAATGTGAATTTTAAAAATTCAACCGTTAGATTGAAATCAAAGTGTTCATATTTTAGTATATTTTAAAATATATATATTACGTCAATTTTGTTTTATGAGAATGAAGTATCAAATCTTCTTGGATCAATACAAAATTTGACATATATGATCTAAGAGATATGAACTTTCAATCTAACGGTTGAATTTTTAAAGTTTACATTTAATATAAAGTTATTGAGCGGTGTAACACTTAGTAAAAGTTACACTGGTTTCGTTTGAACCCTACTCATATATATATATATATATATATATATATATATTCACAATTGAATGTTAACTTCTAAATAAACACCCAATAATTTATAGGAAAATTAAAATAAAAAGTTTGTTTTGGAAATAGAGAGAAAAAGAAAAAGCGTGTAAAGAAATAAATTTGAGAATAAAGAGATGAAATTAGAGTGTGGTAAAGATGATGATTACAGATTAGCAGTGGAAGAAGAGTTGAGTGAGGTGTTGAGTGTTGAGAGAGAGAGAAACGCATCATTTTGATATAGTTTTTGAAAAAGGGCTTTCCCCCGCGAGCAAACCCTAGCAGAGGAAAAATGCCGAGGGAAATCATCACTCTTCAGGTTGGCCAATGTGGGAATCAGATCGGCATGGAGTTCTGGAAGCAGCTCTGCCTCGAACACGGCATCAGCAAAGAAGGCATCCTCGAAGACTTCGCCACTCAGGTCCATTCTCTTTTACCCTTTCATTCTTACACCAATGCTTTCTCTCCTAGTTATCCCTCGATGTTAGATACTTATTCAATTTCCCATCTTTGCATTTATCTCACTTCTCCTGGGTTCACTTTCGACTCTGTTCAAGATTTTGTTAATTCTGGTCTCTCGTTACCGAGATAGCATCTAACTGTCTTTTTCCATCTTACGGTATTTTAAGAATGGGAAACTTGGAATTTTCACCCTTGCATTCTTTTAGTCCCCATTGAGCATTGTCTTACTGTAGCTGGCTTGCTAAGTTGCCAGTTTCCATAAGTCCAAAAAAGTGACTACCGAAATCATTTATCCAACAATGAATTTAATTCAACTAAGGCTTTGTTTGGATAAACTTCTCCGGAAGCACTTCTAGGGAGAAAAATATGAAGTAAAAATGAAATAAGCTTTTTCATAAGTTAAAATTAGTTTATGTATAAGTTAAGCTAATTTGTACAAGCTCTTTCCTATTAGCTTCTCCAAAATCTTATTTTTAACATATGCATAAGCTAGTTTTAACTTATGGAAAAATTTATTTTGATTTTTCTTACTATTTTTTTCTCCCAAAAATGTTTTTGCAAAAGTTCATCCAAACATGTCCTATGAATTTTGATGATGAATGAGTGACGAATGGTTAGAACTTAGAAGCTATAAGTATGCGTCATATACCCAACTTGTGAATGGTGATGATTGGTTCTTCTGCATTTTTTTATTTTGGTTAAAATGCTGCAGGGGGGTGATCGGAAAGATGTGTTCTTCTACCAAGCTGATGATCAGCATTATATACCACGGGCTCTACTGATTGACTTAGAGCCAAGAGTGATTAATGGAATTCAAAATAGTGACTACCGAAATCTCTACAATCATGAAAACATCTTTGTCTCAGATCATGGAGGTGGTGCCGGAAATAATTGGGCCAGTGGATACGATCAGGTTTGTTACTACGTGACTAGAGAATTCTGTAATTAGGATTTGCATGCCACTGATGACTTTGCGTCTTTGGTACTTCCTGGAATTATTTTTCCTTCTCAATATTTAACAATTGATTATTGTAAAATTGTGTCATGGTCATTTGAGTCCCTGTTTGTTTAAACTTTAAAGTTACAAAATCAATCCTTGCACTTTCCAATAGAAAAACATAGGTTCCAATGTAAGTATATGATTTAGATTAACTTAGGCATACATTTCAATCACATTTAATGGTTCAAAAAATCAATTCTACCAAACTTCAAACCAAACAGGCACTAGTCCACACTCATGCTGTATCACCATATGGAGATGTTTTTGTACTTTAGTGTAGCACATTTGATGCTCCATTTGTTTGGTGTTTATACGCCATAAAGAGAAGTTCAATGTATGTGGGTGTGTCTATGGACACACCAGATGATTAAGTCAATGTGATGGTCAATGTTGACAATTGACAGCACAAGACTGGTGATGAGTTTTTTTGTCCCCATTTTATGATACTGATGATGATCCTGCAATGTTGGGTAACATGCAGTTGTAATTGATGTCTATAAATGGCTGTGGTATTTATTGAAGCCCTAACCGACACTTGGTAATTTAAAAATATTGCTTTGCAAATCATGTAAAGTTGCAGGCCAAACTTCTAGACATAATACATGCATAACATTTATTTGTTTTCGAGAACTAGAGATGCCTCAGATGGTCTGACCTGATATTGGCAACCTTCTGCTACTAAACAACTTTGTGCTCAACTTTTCTGAAACATAAAGGAAGATTATGATTGGCAATATCCTATGAGTGGTAAAGTTATTAACTAATGTGGTTGTTATTATCTGGTCAGGGAAAAAATGTTGAAGAAGACATAATGGACATGATTGACAGAGAAGCAGATGGCAGTGACAGTCTAGAGGGTTTTGTTCTATGTCACTCAATTGCTGGAGGGACAGGCTCAGGTGTCTTTTCATCTCATCTTTGCCTGAAAACATCCTATATGTTTCTTCAGTTTTCCCTCTTCCTAATTGAATATTTGTTTAGTGGGTGCATCTGAAAAAGCAAAAGATTGCTAAACTAGTTGACTAAATTTGCACCTAATTTATACTCTTAATTTTAACCCAAAACTTATAATTCTACCCTTAAAGTTAAGAGAGGAAATTGAAGTGGATCACACCTTTTAGCTTATCTCGGAATAAAATTGCCTATAATACAGTGGTTGGAATTCCTGTTTGCCTTTGAAATTGCTATGTACAAGATGAATTTTTTTTGTTGTTGAGATTTTTCATCTTTGTAGTTTTATTATTATTATTATTATTATTTAATTTATGTTGCGTA